CAGCAACAGCAACAACAACAACAACAGCAGCAGCAGGAGCAGCAACATCATGATGAGACGGCAATAATCGACGAAGGAATTGTCAAATTTGATGCTGTGCCATTCATCGAGAGTAGTGATTTGAAAGGGAAATCGATGACACAGATAATTATTCCTATCGTTTTTTCTTTAAAGCATGGGATCTTTTCCTTTTTTCTTTTTTTATCGCCACTTATTTTGGCTCAAAAGTGAAATAATGATTTCTCTATCTCTGCCTGTACGGCACTAGGATGCTAAATGTATAAAATTTTTTAAAGGCATCAAAAAGGCATCTTTTAGGCATCAAAAAGTAATGGTAAGAGACGAGTGCAGTGCTTGAAATGTTTCAAGACATTCTGTGATAAAGGAGCACTGAAAATTCACAACAGTGCAGTACATCTGAAAGAAATGCACAAGTGTACAGTAGAAGGATGTGAAATGATGTTTTCATCAAGACGTAGCAGGTGTGCTCTTTTCGGTTATTTTGGTAGAATGCAACAAGTTATTTAACTTAAAATCACAAATATATTTTTAATTTTATAGATAGATGAGACGGAAGCTTTTCACAGTTTGTTAGCGTTTGATGATATAATTTCTGCATTTGCCGTAAATTATAAGCTAGAGTTTTGATTCTATTTAAATTAGTGACTGGAATGACTGTAATAATGGTGTTTGTTGAGTTTTGTGACTTATATAAATAAGGACTTAAGAATACTGAATATTTTTTTATCTTATATTGTAACCACTATCTACATACTAAATGATAATTTAGTGCATGCTCAGACTATCTACATACTAAATTGTGAAATTGCTAAAAAAAAAATATCTGGCAAATATTTCAACAGTTGTGCCAGTCTATCTTGCAGAAACCGACATTCAGCTAATCCTAATCCAAAGCTGCACACTTCTGCTACACAGCGACAATTCGATTCATTCAGCGGTGATAATTCGCGTGATAGTTCTGTTCCAAAAATGGTTTGTTCATTTCTTACTGTTTTGAGAATCCTTTATTTTTTCGAGTTGAAAAAGTTCATTTTTATAATTCGTTCACTGTAATAATGAAATCTGAAATGTATCGAAAAACGACGGAATTCTTAAAATAAGGAGTAAATTGAATTTATTTAAAAATGAAAAATGAAAGAGTTGATAGAGGTGAGAATTTTTGTCTTTCAGAGTCTTAAATGTGAATTAAAATGAAAGTTAAAAATAAACGAACGGATCCATTTGATTTTTGATGTGAGAAAATTTCGGTTATCTTGACCACGTCACTGGAATAATTTAAAAATCAGTGGGTGCTGGGGGAGAAAAAAACGCTTTGACGGAAGTAAATTCAAAATTGGTGATAAAATGAAGTAAAAATACGGCAGAAAAAATAATCCACAAATGACAAACTCGAAATTGTTCCATGAAAACATAAATGTACATCTCTTCCTGCGTAGGTGAAGGAAACAGGAATTGAAATAATTATAAAAGCAGCAAAATTAACTTTCATAAGTTATTTCAAAGTCTTAGGAATTTTTTTCCCACTCTACGAAACATTTCGTTTTAATTTTGAAATCCATTTTTGTGCACGTACTTCAATAAAAGCGTCCATGAAAACAAATATAGATCTTCTTCCTGAGGAGGTAAAACAAACAGGAGTTGAAATAATTATAACGGCGACAAAATTAACTTTTATAGGTCATTTCAAAGTCGTGTGATAGTTTTTTTCTACGAAATGTCTTAAATATTTTCTAATTATTTAATATTAAGTTTGAATTTTTTCTGGTGACAAATTTTTTGGGTTAATTTATTTTTATAGCCTTCTTTTATAGGATAATTTGTTATATTTTGCCGGTTCATCGGAAGCAAGCGTAAGTGCTCATTCGCCACTTTCACAAAGTAATAGTGATACTTCCACATCAACACGATTAAAATTAACTCCGGAAAAGAATACCCATTTTGGGACACGTAAACGCAAGTGTGATAGGCCTGTTAAATTGGCAGTTACTGATGAAATAATAGTAAGTAATTTGATTCGTTTTCATGAAGTGAACTTTTCATTGTAATATTTATTCGAACATATCTCTTATTTTGCTACAAGGACTGATCATACATTATACAATTTAGTAACAGAATTATGTATATTATTCTTTATTATTTTTAAACCTCTGATTCGAGATTTTATTGAGTATTCCTCGAGGTTAATAGAATTTGTCGTTTTTGCAGCATGCAAAACGAGAGCCATACAATTCTGCTGCAGCAAGAGTAGTAGCAATATCAGAATACAATCAAACATCGTCAACTGCACCGCTTGATCTTACAAATGGAAAAGCAGATCCGAAGCAGCTTTCTAGTGCTATTATGGTAGAACCTACCAGGTTCTGTTTATATAATATATTTACAATACTGTGGCATTACCAGTGCATTATTCCTTATTTAATTATCTGTTTGATTAAAGCAGAAAATATGTATGAATTGTCTCACGTTTTACTCATATAGATCATTCATATTTGGTAACCAGTGTGACTGATTAAAAACATTTTCATTGAAAACTACTGAAATTAGCGTAATTATTTCATCACTATTTTAGATTGGTTTGCTTGTGTAAAATTTTTATGAAAAACTCGATTTTTCAGTGTATCTTCAACATTATTTGCACCGGCAGCAGCAGCAGCAGCAGCAGTGACAGCGTCAAATTCAGCCGTGCTAACACCAATTACGGAAATGATAAGAATATTGCAACAAGCGCACATGTTCAATTCACAACGACATAATAGTACTGGTAGCGTTCAACGTGGTTTTAGTTTGCTGCAACTTATGCAAGAACAAGCTAATGTTGGAAAATGAAGGTGTCTTAGTAATTTTCGATTTCTTCAATTTCATTAATTCTTATGTTGTACTTTCGGAAACATAAAGTTGCTTTTTAGAATTATAGAACTAGGGATTTTTAATTTATTTTTTAAAACTGGAAACTTTTAGATCATTTTGAAAGGTCCCGGTGGTATTTTATACCGAAGTCGCTTTCATTTGAACTGTTTTTTTCTATAACTTTTCAAAACGGAGTTATCTAAGAGAAAATATTCAGGAGTTTGAAGTTATCGAACGTGCATAAATTAAATTTTTCTTTGCTTTTACTAAATTGTGGATAATTTTTATTTCTGTTTTGAAACGATCAGTTTCTGTGTATTCTCAGTTGTGTCTCATTTCCTTTCCTGTTTTGTTTCATTTGCGGTTATCCTTTTCAATTATTCTTACATGTTGCCTTAGTTCTTGCCAAAATCGAATTGAATTATCAACTTTTAAATCTATTTATTTACAAGAGTGCTTGAAGTTCTGTAAGGAGATAAAACTTAGAAATATAGCGCTCAAATGAAGTATGATCAATCGCGTTAAATGTATTTGCATTTCGAATAAGTAAATTCAAAGTAATAAAATCGGCACTATCAACGATTACGTCGTCGCTTTTTTCCATTTTTTTATGTCCAACTAATTTTCTCTAAGTTATATATTATTTGTCTTTTACTCCAACATTTGCATAGCTGTCTTTTGAAAGTGTATTCCTGAGAGCCCAATTTAGCTATTTCTTGTTCACATTTTAACGACAGATTTGTCTACCCTGGTGATGATTGATGATAATGCATTTTATGTTCTTAACTGTTGTTAGTGTGCATGTATGTACGTGTATGTGTATGTGTATGTGTGTACGTGTGTGTGTGTGTGTGTGTGTGTG